TTAAGACCTTATTTTGAGCTCCACGTAAGCAAATTGTGCATGATAGATATCTATGCTCCAACTTGATGGGGGTTGTTGGATTTTAGGAAACTTTTATTTTTAGTATTTTTATATTTTTGGAAGTTAGAATTATTGGTATGTCATAATTCATGTTTTTTTTTATCATTTCATGACTGAATTTATTATTTTCATGATGTTATAGTAATTCTCATCTATTCATCTTGTAATCGTTTTTTTATGAAATTGAAGATGAATAATTATTTTCTCCTCCCCTCTATTTTAGTATATTCTATTATTAATATTTTTCTATTTCTATAAATTAAAATTATTGGTATGTCATAATTCACATTTCATGCATTTATTGTAGGGATCACTTTTTGATTTTTTATTTTTGTTTTATTTTTTTATGTTTTTAATTATAACAAAACATTTATGACATGATATAATATATTTAGTTGTTTTTAAAAATATTTTAAAGTGTTTTTAAAAACAAGTTCTTTAGTTTTTAATAACAAAAAAATAAAAACATCCACAAAACGTGCTAAACAAACATATGATTTAAAATAGGGGCATTTACATACCACCCAATTCTTATATATTAACGTACCTGTAAAGTCTCGTTTTAGCTACTCGGGGAAGAAGAGATGAATCGCCGTTAAAGGAAACGAACTACCGAAGAGGAGGAAGCGAGTAGATGAGAAACCATAAAGAGGAGAGAGAAAGTGAGGGGGGTCAGAATTCAAAGAGGCGATTTTGCTCGATAAAGTGTCGTTGCCAACTTGCCTTGAAATGTACATATTGCATTGCTATATTAAAAATTTGCAAAAAGATTACAAAAGCCTAGCCCGTCAAAACATGGGCATGATCAGAGGCAATAAAAGGAAATGGAAATGTGAATTATCAGCACTCCTAACAACAACACTAGCATGTATAACTTACCTAGGGACTTTAACGATGTGTACGGGAGTCGGCAGACGCTAGTCAGGGCTTCACGTGCTTCGATCGAAACTGAGGCGGCGTCGGTGTCGGTGTCAAGCTGTGTAGTCGGTGTCAATGTCGTGCAAAGGAAGAGGAAGAGGAAGCGAAAGGAAGATGAGCTTGTGAGGGGGGAGGGCAGAGAGGATGGTGTCAAGTTTCGAGCGGTTCGTTGTTAAGTAGAATCATGAGGAAGGTGGGAGTCAAATCCACGAGTGTTTAGAGTTCAATCGAAGGAGTAGCTCTCGTGCGAGGAAGGCTCTCAATCCGGATCTCTCGCATGTAGAGGGGAGGAAGATGTAGTTCTATGGGGGATTAGGCTCAATCGAGAGGTTTTAAGGGTGAGTAACATTAATTAAAAATATTTAACATAAATTTTGAAATATGTATATATATATATATATGTGATAAGGTATAATAATAATAATAATATAACACTTAAATGATATAATGTAAATATTTTAAATAATAAATTAATTTTTATACACCCATGTTTATTGTAGGCTTAAATTTTAAAAAGAATTGAGGTTAAGATAAATTCAAGGCAAATCAAATAGCAAATTGATTGACATTTAGGTGAGTACTCGTACTTTTAATCTATTGTAAATATTTATTTCTTCTCAACTATTTTACGGTTAATGACACTTGCAAATGTTTTATTCTGATTAAGATATTTTTTTCTGGTCGGTCATATTGTTATGAATTTTTGTAGCTATTTACTATCATGCATTGGTGTATGTTTTATATAGTATGCTAAATTAAATGCAATGAATACATGAATGATATATTTATGTTGATTGTTTGCATGTGTATGACTGACTACGATAGAGTCACCCTTTTATAATACTAATGGGGGAACACTAAGATATCTGTGCACGTAAATGAAAAATGATATTGATATCGATATTGACTTAAATTTTAGACGATACTCCTATGATGATTATACAGATATAAAATAATATTGATATAACACGATTCATTGAATAACATGTTAAATGTTTATATTGATTTATTAAAAAGTTTAACTGGCATGCATAGTATTTTCTTTTTTTTTATATTACTATAATTTAGAAATATGAGTATTCTCTGGCATGTTAGCTCACTGTTATTTTTAAATCAACTTTTCAGTTTAATTTATGTGATTTAAAGATAAACGATATAAGAGAAAACATGTATGGTAGATGCAGACAACCAATAGCGAGGTAAATTTTAATTTTACTATTTTAGTCTAATTTGATTAGTGACTTTTTCATCTGTTAAATAGTAACTGAATATAGAAAATTTATCTCACACCGTTCGATCGTCTGTGCTCGCCTTGGTTAACTCAAAGCCCCGGACCGGGTCGTGATAAAAGTGGTATTAAAGAAAATATTTAAAATTAATTAATGAAATCTTGATGAAAGAGCCAATATGATACTTATAATAAAATTTTTAAAATAAAATAAAATTTGTAAATTTCGAACATGAGTTTTTTATAAGTAGGAAAGATTGTAAAGTCCCTCTTCATTTACTCGGAGAAGAAAAAAATGAACCCCGTAAAAGGAAATGAAGAGTCGAAGAAGAGGAAGCGGGCAGTCGGGACATCGAACATAGAGGAGAGGAAGAGAGGGGGATTAGAATTCAAAGAGGCAATTTTGCTCTATAAAGCGTTGCTTTCGACTTTCCTGGAGAGTTGAACGGTGCATACGGGAGGCGACAGATGCTAGCCAGGGCTTCCAATGCTTCGACTAAAATAGAGACAGTGTTGGTGTCAATCAGTGAAGACGGCGCTAGTGTCGTGCACAAGAAGAGGAATTGAGAGGAAGATGCGCTTGTGACGTGTGATTGCAGAGAGGAGGACATCAATATCCGAGCGGTTCGATCTAAAGGAGAAGCATGAGGGAGGGAGTCGAAGTCACGAGTGTTTGGAGTTCGATTGAAGGAGGAGCTGTCATGCGAGGAAGGCTCTCGATCTGGATCTCTCGCACGCAGAGGGGAGGAAGACATAGTTCTACGGGGGATTGGGCTCAACCGAAAGGTTTTAAGGGTGAGTAACTTTAATTAATAATATTTAACAAAAAGTTGAATTTTATATATATATATATATATATAACATAAGGCATAAGTGCCTTAACCTGGCTCATTGTTTGCTGCCTTTGGTGTAAGTCCCTCAGGTCGGGGGTTCGATCCCTGCATAGAATCGAATTGCACACATTTTTGAAAGGGGGGTCCGCCCCTCGGTCAGACTATGGGGTTGATCGTCGATCAACCTTTTTCAAAAAAAAAAATATATAACATAAGGTTTAATAATAAAAATTGAACACTTAAATAATATAAATTAAATATTTTAAATAATAAATTAAGTTCTATACCCATGTTTATTGTAGGCTTAAATTTTAAAAAGGGTCAAGGCTGTGATAAATTCCAGGAAAATCAAATTGCAAATTAATCAACAACGAGATGAGTTTTTTTACTTTTAATTTATTGTAAATATTTGTTTCTTCTCAACTATTTTGCAGTCAATGACACTTGCTTATGTTTTATTCTGATTGAGAGATTCTTTTCTGTAACGGTCATATTGTAATGAATGTTTATAGCTACTTACTATCATGCATTGGTTTATGTTTTATATAATATGTTGAATTGAATGCAATAAGTATATGAATGATATGTTTATATTGATTGTTTGTATGTGCATGAGTCATCCCTTTATGGTACTAGTGGGGAACACTAAAGTACTCGTGCACGTAAATGGAAAAAAATATTGATATTGATATATTTTAATTGACACAATTCTAGATGGTGCTCTTATGACGGTTGTACAAATGTATAATGATTTTGATATATTAAGATTCATTGAATAACATGTTAAATGTTTATATTGATTTATTAAAAAGTTTGACTGACCTGCATATTACTTTTTTTTCCTTATATTACTATAGTTTAGCAGTATGAATATTTGCTGGCTTATTTAGCTCACTGTTATTTTTAAACTAACTTTTCAGATTAATTAATTTGATTAAAAAATGAACAACAGAAGAGAACGTGTCTAGAAGACGTGAACAACCAGTAGCAATATAAAATTTAATTTTATTGTTTTAATCTATTTTGATTAGTAGCTCTTCTATCTGTTAAATAGTAAGTGAATATAAAAAAATTAGTTCACATCGCTTGGTTAACTCCAAGCCCCGGGCAAAGTCGTGACAATACTAACCACCCAGACTTCAATTTTTACGTATAGACCACTAGATTCCTATGTTTTCAGCATGGGTTGGGTGGTTTGAAGTTAAAAATTGAATTTTAGATGGTTGATATGTTATTACATAGCAATTAGGTGGTAGGTGTGTAAACTTCTCTTTAAAATAAAAGCAAAAACGAAAATAAAAAAAAACAATAATAAAAGTGTTCCCAAAGAAGCTCTTAGAAAATGGTTGCTTGTAACATGGATCCATAATTGATCCGAAATGATTTCTAAGTTAGATCGAAAGTGCTGGTTGTGTTGGTCATGTTTGCATTGGTTCTTTTAGCATTCTACTTTTAAGCTACATCAGTGGTCATGATGGCCACAAATTTTTTTTGGGGGCGTTTACCTACATACCAGCGAATTCCTACGTGTTTACATCTAAAAACTAAATTTCACTTTTTTACATTTAAATCTGCCAAATTTTTTATATCACAAAAAATTTCACTATTTTGACTTTTAAAAAGTAAATGCAGCTTTTCATGCATAGATAAAGTGGCATACATGTAAAAATTAAAGTATAGGTGTTATATATGTAAATACTTAGGAATTGAGTGATATGTAGATAAATTTTCCATTTTTTGTTCATGGGAACTAGATGACGTTATTGTATTTAAAGCATTGTGATTTGGCGCTTTGCCTTCTCTCCCTGCAATTTAAATGCCTGTAAGGCATCTCTACCATGCTTAAATACAATCTTGATAGAAGGCTTTTTGTTAAATATTTAAATCATAGGAATTGAGTGGTATTCATGTAAATATTTCTAATATTTATTCTGATTTTAATGTGTACTTTTCTTTGCTAGACATTGTCTCGACGTGTTGCTTCATACAAAGACTCTGAGGATCTAAAACGAGATGTGAGGTAATTTAGCATGTTTTTGTGAGAAATCATTTATAAAATGTATCCAATGCCAACAGGTTATTTCAGCAGTTCTTGTGTTCCTATCCAAAAGACACGCAATGTTGACCAAATAAAAGGATGCGTAAAATGAACTAGAATTAATCCTTACAACACAGGACAACCACAACTACTAATCAATTTGATACTTTAACGGCTAAACCAAACCAATCAAGATCGATTCAATTCAAATTTGTTGTTCTATCAATTCATGCACAACCCTAGATGATCAACTGAATCAATTCCTGGCACTAAATCTATCGAGGAAGTCATTAAGCCTGCAAACAAAGGCACTTTAATTGAATATCCTTTATATTTATTCTTATCATACAAAAATGTTTCTCATCATCATCATTCTTTAGTAGTTTTTATACTATTTCTATCCCTAAATACGTTTCTAAGGTTAAGTAATGAGACTTGGAATAATGTTATAACCCTAAATAAAGAAATTGAATCCCTTCAAAAGAATAAAACAAAAAATTTTTATACTTCCAAAGCAAAAGAAACCAATGGATCTATATGAGTTTTTACTCTTAATATAAAGTACAACCTGATGGCTCATTGAAAGGAAACAGAGTCAAACCCTGAGATTGATTTTCTTGACATTTTTGCTCGTGTTTCTTGGAGCATTGTTGGAGTTCTTTTACAATTGAAACTTGTGAGGATTAGAAAATTAAATAATTTCATGGAAGAATGATTTCTTACATGTTAATCTAAAGAAGGATGTTTGGATGTCCCATTGCGTTTAGGCTCAAACACAAAACGAAAGGTTTGTAAATTTAAATAAGTGTTATATGGATTGAAGCAATCTCTAAGAGTATGATTCAGAAAGTTTGCCAAGGTAACAGCTAATATGAAATACAAATAGTCAATACAACCATACATTATTTATAAGACATGCAGATTCATGGGGAATCTATGGACTATTAGTTTATATTGACAATATTGTAATAGGCAATTTTATGGAAGGTATGAACACTTCTAAAAATTTGATACTTTCTTGGCATTGAGATTGCTCAGTCTGCTTGAGATATTTACATTAATTGATAACCAATCTATTGAAAAAAACTAGGTTGGGATGCAAGCCTAATTAGAATCCTACGAAATTTAACTATAAATTTGAAGTTGCTCCAAAAAATACAACCTAAAAAATGGCAGCAAGGCTTATCTATTATGGCATATTGCACCTGCTATTGTATTTATTAGTGTGTTAAGGCAATTCAAGCTCAGCCCTAAAAAACGGCACCTTAGACTTGTACATCAAATTTTTCAATATTAGCAAGGAACTGCAGGTAAATGAATTTTATTCAAAAAGAGAGCATTTGACACTTGTAGCTTTAATATATGTCGATTATGCATTATCTATAGTTGATGAGAGATTAATTTAAGAATATTGCATATTCACAAAATACAATCTCATGACTTGAAGAAGTAAAAATAAAATGTTGTAACGAGGTCTAACCCAGAAGCCAAATTTAGATATATCACTCTAGGAATCTTTGAATTGTTATGACTAGAAATTATCTTGAAAGATTTAAATGTTAAATGAAAAGTTCTTATCAGACTCTATTTTGAAAACAAGTCAATGATTAATATTGCTCATAACCCTATACAACATGATCAAACAAAATATATTGAAGTGGATATGTATTTTATAAAAAAAGAATATTTAGATTAATATACTATATACTTCGTTTATCATCATAGATGTGCAATTTGCATATATTCTCATTAAAGAATTATCAGCAATAATATTTCAAAAATTGGCATTCAAGTTTGAAGTGGACAACATTCATTCATTCACTGTGGGGGAGCATGAAAAAATCAATCTCCATCAATTCTGCATTCATTAATTCAACCTCAATCAATTCTATCTACATTAATGTTCTGTTGAGCTGGTAGTACTCAAATGTTTCTAACTCACTTCATGTCGTCTCTGTGTTTCATGGGATTTTTAATGACATTTCATCAATATTAAATAAATATTAATATGAAACAGTTTATTAATATTAAATATTAATAAATATTGAATAAATATTAGAATGAAACAGTTTATTAATCATTCCCAATTCTTGTTATTATTTAATATATGCTCTTTTTATTTTTAATCATTCAACCTTATTTATATCTATTTATCTTATCGTTGCATATTTCCTTCATTTATTATAAGTATATTTTTTTTTACTTCCCATCGTAGATGCTCCACCCACTATTACTTAAATAGTTGAATTTCAATATATTGCTAGTATATTCTGTATTAAAAATTTTGAGACCTCAACTCATGAGCTGACGAGTGAAGCTGGTACTTTCTCAAGCTTGGCTTGTTATCTCATGGAGCTCAAGTCAAAAGCCATTTATTGAGCCAAATCCAAATCATCTCACTAGTTGGTAACTAATCGCACCCCTAATTGTAGCATTTTGTTGCTGCTTAGATGGATGGAATTCTATGAAAAGTATACTATAATCTTCACAGAAGCTACAATTTTGTAATTTATGCATTCCATGTATCCATCTTTCTTTCATATATCATTTATTGTTTGTTGTTTTAATTCGTTTTCTTGTAAGCCTACTAATCTGACCACCATTGATGATCATGTTTATCAGATTGTTTATTGTCCTTGAAATCAAATCTTGTTTTAAGGTTGTTGTTTTTTAATTTTTGGAAGATTTGTATGCATACCACTCAACTCCTATGTATTTACATATCTAACACCTAAACTTTTTAGGTATAGAACACCTTACCTAGGTATGAAAAGGTGTATTTCACTTTTTCAGGTTAAAATAGTGATATTTTCTATGTATTGAGAAGGATTTGGATGGTATAAATGTAAAAAAACAAAGTTTAAATGTTAAATAGGTAAATATATTAGAATTGAGTGGTATATAGGTGTAACTAAGCTAAGTTGACTTGTGAGTCTGCTTGATCACGACTCGATAAGTGGCTCGCGAGCTGCGGTCAATAAGCTAAAAAGTTAGGATCAAATCAAACTCGACTTGATTTTTTAGCTTGTGAGCAAGCTTGTTTTTTTTTTAAATATTTTTATAAAATATACTCAATATATATTAAAATTTAAGACTTTATCTTTAAATTCTTAAAAATATTTAAAAAAATAATATTAACATTTTGTATCAAATTATCTTTTAATATTTATCTCCTAGTTACTCATTATATATCCTTTTATTATAAGAATTGCTTGAATTAATATTATTTTCTTTCTTTCACAACAAGTAAGTTGGCTTGAACTTGTAGGATTAAGCTCGAACTTAATCAATTAATCAAGCTTAAGCTCAAGCCAAGGGTGACTCGAGCTCGACTTGACTTGTTTACTCCCTTAATGTTTTGCATGTTTGTAAATGCCCCTTAACTTTTGTACTATATTTGAAATCTTGTTTTTCAGTTTGCTCCTTGCACCAGTTACACTTGGAGCAACCACCATTTCCTGGGTCACAAGGAAGTTGGAACCCAAAATGATTGGGCTGCCAACCTCTCCTTCTTCTACAGCCGTTCAAGATCGGGTTCTTCAGGCTGCTGCTAGACATGAATCTCAGCCAGCAGATGCCGAAGACACTCAAGGCCAGGCAGTCGACTCGTCGGGCCAGGTAAATGAGAACCTAGATGTCTCCGAAGCATGAGATATATGGGATGAGGGATGAGGTAACCTTCCATTGTAATTGTATTTTTTTTTTTTTATCTAATGATTTGTAAACAAAGCTGCAATCAATAGGTTTTAGTTTTGATTCACTCTTTATCACTGTGCTGCCAATCTTGACATGCTAAAGATATCATCATTGTAAGCCTTATCCTCAATTATTTGGGTCAATGTTATGCAGCTCTTTTTGTACATATATGTATTTTTTTTGTGTTAAAAATTAGGGATGAATGAGATTCACAGGTCTAGTTTTATTCGAATTTGATCTGACCAAAAATTGATCGAGTTAAACCCGGCCCGAATATTAAACTGGTAAAATGCTCAACCCGAACCTAACCCATTAATCCTCATATAACCCGTTTAAAATAAAACAAATAACTATTCGGGTTAATTTCAAGTTGATTTCAAGTCAGTTTTAAGTTGGTGGGTCTATTTTGAGTTCATTTTAGACATATGGCGAGTTTCTGGTTAATTTTAGGTTGCAGGTCAACTTAAACTGACCCGAAGTTGTATAGGTGAAAGTTCCTAACCTGCGCTCAACCCAAAGTTTTTTAGGTCACACCAGGTTTTTTTTAATGAAGTTCAGGTAAAGGTCAATTTTTAATATCCTTTTTAAAAATATCATCAGTGAGCTTGTCCAATTACCTTGCTTGATTATTTTTAGCCTAAGCATAAATTTACCATCATTTCTTTAGAATAATATGTTGTCATAATTGATAATTAGGCATTAATAAACTGATATAATTCATCCATTTGTCTATACCCCACCCACAGAGCATGGGATTGACTCTGCCTGTGGAGTCATTATTGCTTATTTGCTTTTCTTACCCTCAATGATAACCAAAACAAAAATCACAGGTGTAAAGTTAATGACACAGTTCATAGAGAATTCTTTTTAGTAATTTCATACCTTACATATTGGCAACAAACATTGTAACAAGTCCAATTGAATTATATGCAAATCAAATACTATTAATATTTCATACATTGGATCTGAGATTGTGTTTAATTAACATATTATAATGATGTAATTGATATAACAGTCACTGCAGACAGCCAGATATATAACCAAGAGCGCGCGTAGGCCATGAGATATTTGTTTACTTTCGAGATAAAACCGCATGTTTCAATCTAGTTATACAATATATTAGTTTGTTTTAAATTTAAGTTAAATTATATTCAAGTTTTGATGGGTATATGATGGAATATAATTTCGGATTTTTACTGAAATAATTAATGGCTGATAAAATTTCAATGCTGCCTCCATAACAGAAAATCAATTTTACAACTAAAGTCCAGTATTAACTATTTGTAAACCGCCATAACATAATCAAATAAATTAAGATGCAATGATAAAATCAAATGGACCGCAAGAGTAGGGCTGTCAATTTGGCTCGTTGTTCGTGAACAGCTCGTGTTCGGCTCGTTAAGCAGCTCGTGTTTGGCTCGTTCGTTAAGCCTAACGAACAGAACCCTACTATTTAAAACAAGTCCCCTCAGAATTCAATTTGTCACCTTAGTCTATTGAGTAACTAGTAAAATAATAATGAAGAAATGAGATTAATGTCACAGCAACCTCTGAATATTTAAAGTTTATCAAAATTCCAGGTTCATAAAAAAAATTCAAAATTAAGACGAACAGAAACATAATATATAGCAAGCAGGACAGTACTCTGTTCTCAGTCTTCCTCCTCGCCTTCATTTTCAGCAATGTTGAAGTACCTCAGCTCATAAACATTACGATCCTTGTTGGAAGCAATCACTCGTAGCCAGTCTCGCACATTGTGTTTTTTCAGATACTTCTTTGTTAGGTACTTCAGATAACTGAGAACACAGCAGAAAATAAATACATAGGAATTTGAGTGATTTGTATGTAAATCTTTCATCATAGAATACACATTTTCATGCAAAGACGAGGTGACATGTAAGTAAAAAATTGAAGTTTAGGTGTTAGATATGTAAATACATAGGCAATAAGTGATATGCCTGTAAATCTTCCATCATAATAATATGTCATGCCCTCTGCAACATGGAAAATAAAATAAAATAAAATCTAGGAGACCACTACGAAACTCGTGTACAACCGGTTGCAATACTTTTCGATTGCTGCCTCAAGTGACGGCTTTTAAAGAATGAGGGAATATGATGGTTAATATTAAAATCAACATATGGATATATTGTGATATCACCATAGTTATCATAAAGCATACAAGCAGCAAATTTTATGACCATAAAAGAAGGGAGCATTTACATGCAGACCACTTGATTTTTATGTATTTACAAATCTAACACCTAAACTTAATTTTTTACAAACAATAATAACACCCAAATCTTTTTACAATAATAACACCCAAATCTCTTATATCACATAAAATACCACCATTTTAACTTTTAAAATGTGAAATACAGCTTTTCAAAAACATATAAGGTGGCCTGTACGTAAAAATTAAAGGTTAGGTATTAGACATGTAAATACATATGAATTGAGTGGTATGTATGTAAATATTCCAAAAAAAAAAAAAAACAAAAAAAACCCTCCACCAGATGGTGATCAAAGTTCACAAGAGAATTTAGTTGGAGTAGATCTCCAGGCCAAATGGTGAGTTATAACTCTCTCAAAGACAAATGAGCAATACTTCCAATCCCATTCTTATGCAGCATACTGTATATATATTAGCGAGGGCAGTGTAAGATAATATAGATAATAATTAACAAATATTATCTTTATATGGCCAAATTATATTAAAGAGGTGTTGAATTTTGGGAGGATTGCAAAAAATTGAGCTCCTGGACAAGTCTATAAATTGTTCTAAAATATAAGCGCATCCTGATTGGCTAATAATTTAGAACCTATGGCAAATTACAAGCTGAAGAAACGCTAAAATTCTGATCATGAGGACTTAGATTTACACTAAAAAGAATTATGTACTGTATGTTGAAGGTATTAAAAATGGATATACAAAAGATGTAATCCTGTACACACTCAATGGTCGTCCTGTTAATCATCAAGCATTCAAAATAGCACCAAAACCAATTTAAATCTGACCATTCTACATTACTTTTACTCTCCCGTACGTAGTGACGGAATAAATTTAGCTAATGAAGCTATGAAGACATAATCCTGTACACATTCAATTGGTCGTCCTGTTAATCATCAAGCATTCAAAATAGCCACCAAAACCAATTTAAATCTAATCATTCTAGATTATTTTTACTCTCCAGTATGTAGTGAAGGAATAAATTCAGAACAGTAATTCAACTCGTGAAGTTCTATCCTTCTTTTTTTCCTACATCTATCTCTCTCCAATGAATTCCACTCAATCATTGGTTCATTCTATTCTACAAATAAATGACACACCAATAACTCTTCAATTCCTCGTAAGTACTCTCACCATCATTCTTAACAGCAAACAACTATCTCACGTGAAATTCTTTAATAGGATTTTAGGAAACCACTTGTGATTACGCTGAACTAGGTTTACAAGCTTAGTAAACTAGAGATTCACCTCCAGAATAGTTCTTAGCTCTTTTCTTGTGGGATCGATATATTGATGTAAGCATACCAAGATATCCAAAACACCTCTTCATCGCTGAAGAAACAATTTCAGCCAATCAAGATAACCTTCTCTGGAACTTGATAGACCAAAATCTTGCCACAGCACTTTTTGCAATAATTTCTCCCACCTTACTACCCTATGTGTTGTCTCTGAATACATGTTCAAACATTTGGGCCACAATCTTAATTTGCAGTCTACAAATAGATCACAAATCATTCAGCTGAAGAACGAGCTTCACAATGTTCATATCGCAGGACGCACCATGATCCAATTTCTATCAGATATTAAGAGCACGACAAACACCATTGCTGCCACTAGAAATCCACTACCTACAAGAGAAGATAATCCTGTACACACTCAATGGTCGTCCTGTTAATCATCAAGCAATCAAAATAGCCACCAAAACCAATTCAAATCTAATCATTCTATATTATTTTTACTCTCCGGTATGTATTGAAGGAATAAATTTAACTAATGAAGCTATGAGAGTTGCAACTATCTCAACATTCACATATAACCATTGGAAGAGATTGCCAACACTTCTCTTCAACCTGCGGATGCTCGACAACAAGATCTTCATCCAACAATTCTAAAGAGTATAATGCTTCATCCAGTCCTATAGCCAGTCAAATCTATTCTAAGCTTGGTCAACCAAAAGTTACTTGTTTTAGCATAAACAGGGCCCAAGATTCAGAGGTATAGCAAAATCTCAGGCCCTCACTGGTACAAATAATACACAACATGCATCACCTATCAATTAAATCTTAGAATCTGGTGCTAGATCCAACGTAACCTTTAATCTCACCCGGAATACAGCTTCCTACAATCGTAATCAACAGATGTCTCTTGACAATGGCCAAACCTTACCCATTTCACATGTTGGGCAAGGCATTTTCCCTACCCCAACCACTAAGTTATTTCTTAAACTCCTTCATGTTCCTAACCTCTCGCACAACCTTCTATCTTTCAAGCCACTCACAGCTGATAATTCATGCCATATTATCATTTGATAAATCTGGGTTCCAGATTCTTGACAAGAAAATTGATGAGATATTTCCCAAAGGTCCTCGCCATAGAAAGTTATACTCAATTAATTCCACTCTTCTATCTGGAAATTCATGCTATCGCCTAGCCTTGCTATCTACCAAACCTATCACTGCTCTATAGCACCAACGACTTGGTCATCCGCAAGCTGCGACACTCTCTAGCATAGATCAAACCAATCCCCTCTTCAAGAGCCACCAGTAACAAACTGTCTGAAACATTTGTCATATTCCAAAAATATCTCCCTTCTCTCTAGCAGCACCACCCTTCTTTGTCTTAAATGTATGGGGACTCTTTCCAACCCTCTATTACAATGTAACCTTTCTTGATGATTATATACACTTTTGTTGGTTATATCCTTTAATATAAAAATCAGATGTATTCACAAAATTTCTTGAGTTCAAAATAATGGTTGAGAAATAAAGCAATTGTCACATTAAAATTCTTCGATCTAATGGAGAAGATAAATATATGAACAAAACCTTCACTATCAACTTTAAAGAACTTCGGCATTTTACATCAAACATACATGTCCATACACACCAGATCAACATAATATTTGCATGACATAAACATAGACACCTTATAGAAGCTGCAAGGACTCTCCTCACAGAATAAGATCTTCCACCACATTTTTGGACAAATAAAATCCAAACAGCAAACTATCTTATCAACCGTTTACCGTCTTCTACTAATAAAATAATCTTTCCATAACAACTACATAAAAATACATCTAACTATCAAAAGCTTAAAATATTTGATTGCCAATGCTTTCCTTGGCCATATCCTTATCAAAAACACATATTTTCACCATAACGACTTCCACATAAAAACTATCAGAATCTTAAAATATTTTGTTGTTAATACTTTCCTTGGCTATATCCTTATCAAAAACACATATTTTCCCCATGTCCACCTGCTGTAGCTTTTGGGTTATGCTATAGTACAAAAGGGATATCATTGTTATGATCCCCTCTTAGGTAAAATCTACATCTTCAGACAAGTAGTTTTCAATGAAGATGTCTCTCCCTATTCTCAAAACACCACCAATTCTAAATTCACATCAATTCTACATTCTCTGCCACCTCTGACACTTGCTCAGTTCAACAACTTCACTTACCAATTCTTCTTCCAATGCATTTCAACAATAACATACCGGCTCTCTGAATCATACAGTTCTCAACCCCATTTTCAAACCCATCATTCCAATAATTTCCCTTAGCCTCTATTCCAATTCTCCTCCAGCAAATCAGCCCCAAGCCAATCATCATCCTATGCAAAGTCTAAAAAATGGCATTAAGTGCTCCAAACATATATTCAATCTAGTACAAACTCACCGATCTACAAACCCTGCCTATTTCACAGTTGCAAAGATCTTCAGCATTGGCGTCAAGCTATGTCTGCAAAATTTCAGGCTCTACTTCAGTTTTCAAAATGGGCAAAACCGATTTCAACCGAAATCCAAAATCCAAAGCACCGAACCAACCAAAATTTTGATAAACCCAAAACAGTCAAACTGAAATGTAGTTTAAAGATATAAGGATATGATAAAAATGAGAAAAAATAAAAATTATTAAGCGAGGATTATATGATATTGATCACTAGAAAATTTACTTCTAAATATTTCAAGGAATATTTATATGCATACCAACCAATCCTAATGTATTTACATATCTAACGCCTAAAAAGAAATTAATTATTTGGTTTTCGGTTCATTCAACAAAATAAGAAGTAAAACCGAACTGTAAACAAAAAACCAAACTTTAACATTTTTAAAACCTAAACCGTTTTTTTTTAAGCCGAACTGAATCACCCAAGTTAACTCAGTTCGATTTTTCGGTTTAAATCAAATAATGCACACCCCCATGCTCTACACATTCAAGGGACCTAGGAGCTTGTTCCTCCTCCCACACATCGAAATATTCTTGGTGCAAATGGATATAAAAAACCAACAATCATAGCAACGATATTATAGCCAGATACAATGCTCGTTCAGTTGCCCAAGCTTTCAATTAAGAATATAGACTGGATTACACAAAAACATTCAGTTCTGTAGCCAAATTTCTTGCAATTCGTATTTTGCTTACCCTGTCCCTCACTGACAATTGGGACACCACGCAACTTGATGTTGAATATTGTTTATATGCAACCACCTCAAAGAATTGTTGATCCTAACCATATAGAGCATGTATGTCTACTCAAATTGCCACATTTAAGGCCTTCAACAAGCATTATGTCAATGGTACTCTACATTCACAAATCATCTACAACAAATAACTTCCAGCCAGGCCGACCCATCTCTTTTTCAATATTAGCATCAACAGGTAACTATCTATCTTCTCTTATATGTAGACAACATTATTTATGCAGGCAGTGACACAACATTCACAACCATGTCACATCATCATCTTCAACAAACACTTCTCATCAAAGATCTTGGTTGCTTATCTCAATTTCTTGGCTTACAACCCACCAAGATACCCAATAGATTTCATTTAAATCAAACCTTCTATGCCCAAACGATAATGGAAAAAGCAAGTATGCCAAATAGTAAACCGACTTGTACCCCCCTTCCCTCACACAAAACAATATTTGCTTGCTTAGAAGAACCATATTCCCACCCTCAACTATGCAAGCAGAAAACAAGCTCTTTACAATACCTTACCATTACGTGACCAAACCTTGTTTTACCTCTTAATCTTCTATGTCAATTTATGCATAATCCCACGAATCAGTACTAACAATTACTCCAAAGAACCTTGAGATATACCGAAGGCACTCTCTTCCTTGGATTGCCTCTACACTGCCCTAACCTCAGCCTTCAAGCATTTATCGGTTCAGATTTGGCAGGAGATATTATTGATCACAAGTCTACATCAGGTTTTTGCATTTTTTGAAGTCAAAATCTCATATATTTTAGTGCCAAGAAGCAATTGACAATGGATTGCTCTTCCATTGAAGCTGAATATCAAGCTCTCACCATTGCAGTCATTGAAATCATTTGTATAAGTGGACCCTTACACAAACTAGGAGTATTTATCCAACACCAACTCCTCAAATCTTTGACAACGTCTCAGCTATTGCTTTGGTTAACAATTCAATATTTCATGTGCATACTAAACATAGAAATTGATCACCATCTTATATGCGATTGTATTAAAGTTCAAACTATTCAATTGCATCAGATCAACAGTCAAGACCAACTTGCATATTTGATTACCAAATCACTTCCTTTTGCTCAGCTCCTTGACCTGAGATCCAAGCTTACAATCTAAGAGGAATTTACATCTTGCAGAGCGGTGTTAACAGAATAATCTAATCTCCAAAATCTTCTGCACCCACAACAGATTTCAGTATTCTATCTCCCGCCTCAAACTACCTGATTCTCTCTTTGTAACAAAAAAAGTGATTCATTCTATACATAGCTCTCACCACCGTCCTTTCTAGTGATCAATATCATATAATCCTCGCTGTTTTGGGTTTATCAAACCTATAATAAAATTTCATGGTTATAATGACTCTCTACTAATCATTTTTATAATGCAGAATCAGCCCCACCCCCTTTTTCCTTTATTTACTTTGTATACTTTTTCAACAACGTGTTGTATATGTAATTTTAAAAACGAGCAATTCTATAATCTAAATTAACAAGCAACAATGCAATTTCTCTAAAATACTCGCATCATCGAATTAGTTAGCAGCACTAAAAAGTAGATAAATTAGTGAATAGAACACATTCTACAAAATAATAGCAATAATTCAACAAGAAATGGTCATGAGACTTCAAAATGGCACGCTAAAAACCAATAAGAAAACTATGTGCTTTCGATAAACATAATATGTATGGAGGTAACAAATGATGGAATTGAATGGTTAATACCTAATATAGTCTCCACTCTCGCATCTTTCTATAGATTCTAAACAAGAAATGTTCAGAGCTACGCCTCGATTCAAGGGTGAAAAACTCATTTTCTAGTTTCTCACAATAAAATAAGTAAGAAAACACTGTTCTTTGCTTCTTGAAGAACAAAAAAAACAAAATTTTGCAAGAAACTAAATAAATCTTAGCCTTACAATCTATTAGATGATAATGTCAACATGTAATGTCAGAAACATAGGGAAAATTGAAAGAAAATATATGTTCTGCGAACACTTACAACAAAATTATGTTGCCAGTAAACTTACTCAGCAAATTTGTCCAATTCAATCAATCTCTTTAAGCTCAAACAATAGTCAAAAGAATCATCCATGGCATCCTAAATCAGAATAGCTATTAATGTTTCATGGACCATGATCCTTCAGACTTGATAATATGACTAGAGGATGATTTCAGAATCATAAACCTCAAAAATAAAAAATCTTTGCAGTTATCCAAGATTCAACATCAAATTTATCTAGCAACAACTTTAAAAGTAACGACTTCCTATAGAATTGCATACAATTATTTCAAATCATTATAATAAAATTATGTTGCCAATAAACTTACTCAGCAAATTTATCCAACTCAATCAATCTCTTTAAGCTCAGGTGTGAAAAACTCATATGTTCTAATTGCTCACAATAAAAAAAGTAAGCACAAACTGTTCTTTGATTCTTGAAGAACAAACAAAACAAAATTTTGCAAGAAACTAAATAAATCTTAGTCTGAAAATCTATTAGATGGTAATTTCAATATGTAATTTCAGAAACAAAGGGAAAACTGAAAGAAAATATATGGTTTGCTAACACTTAGAACAAAATTATGTTGCCAATAAACTTACTCAGCAAATTTATCCAACTCAATCAATCTCTTTAAGCTCAAACAATAGTCAAAAGAATCATCCATAGCATCCTAAATCAGAATAATTGTTAATGTTTCATGGACCATGATCCTTCAGACTTGTAAGATAACTAGAGGATGCTTTCTGAATCATAAACCTCAAAAATAAAAAAATCTTTGCAGTTATCCAAGATTCAACATCAAATTTATCTCGCAACAACTTTAAAAGTAACCACGTCCTATAGGATTGCATACAATTATTTCAAATCATTATAATAAAATTATGTTGCCAATAAACTTACTCAGCAAATTTATCCAACTCAATCAATCTCTTTAAGCTCAGGTGTGAAAAACTCATATGTTCTAATTGCTCACAATAAAAAAAGTAAGCACAAACTGTTCTTTGATTCTTGAAGAACAAACAAAACAAAATTTTGCAAGAAACTAAATAAATCTTAGTCTGAAAATCTATTAGATGGTAATTTCAATATGTAATTTCAGAAACAAAGGGAAAACTGAAAGAAAATATATGGTTTGCTAACACTTAGAACAAAATTATGTTGCCAATAAACTTACTCAGCAAATTTATCCAACTCAATCAATCTCTTTAAGCTCAAACAATAGTCAAAAGAATCATCCATAGCATCCTAAATCAGAATAATTATTAATGTTTCATGGACCATGATCCTTCAGACTTGATAATATGACTAGAGGATGATTTCAGAATCATAAACCTCAAAAATAAAAAATCTTTGCAGTTATCCAAGATTCAACATCAAATTTATCTAGCAACAACTTTAAAAGTAACCACTTCCTATAGGATTGCATACAATTATTTCAAATCATTATAATAAAATTATGTTGCCAGTAAACTTACTCAACAAATTTATCCAACTCAATCAATCTCTTTAAGCTCAAACAATAGTCAAAAGAATCTTCCATAGCATCCTAAATCAGAATAATTGTTAATGTTTCATGGACCATGATCCTTCAGACTTGTAAGATAACTAGAGGATGCTTTCTGAATCATAAACCTCAAAAATAAAAAAATCTTTGCAGTTATCCAAGATTCAACATCAAATTTATCTCGCAACAACTTTAAAAGTAACCACGTCCTATAGGATTGCATACAATTATTTCAAATCATTATAAGCTTATCCCCACCCCTTAACTCTAGCAAGCATCTTTATCAAAGAACCCATCAACAAGTAAGCTCATCACTTTATCCACTACCATCTCCTTAAATTCACTATAAAACCAGTGATAAACAAGACCTAGTTTTACAAGTTATGAGGACTTCTATCAAACCAAAGTTTAACTGATACAACACTCACAAACAAATGTTGGCTTAATATGTTCCAGACGCACCTCAACGGAACAATAAAAAAGCTCAATCACGTCTTCTATCCACAATCGCATAAGAAATGGAATTACTACGCAAACATACCGCTTGGAAAATGGGCCTTCGGAAGTGACGGTGATCTTGTTTTTGTCCCGTGTGATGGAGACGACATCGCCAATCGTGCCGGCCTTTCCGCCAAGCGAGGCTACCTTGATCCGTTCAAGGAGGAACTTCTCAAGGGATGCGATGTCCATAATCTTGTCTTCCACCGGCTTTGAACAATCGATGACGAATGTCGAGCCCTTCCGCTTCCCTCCTTTCGCACCAGCGCCACTCCCTGTTCGGCTCATCTTTCGGCCTCTCTCAGCAAGCTCGCTTTCTGGAGTTTGCGTTAGGGTTTCCGCTTATGATCGATCGTATTCGGATGAACTTATATAGGCGTTGATATGGTTGTGTAAAGTAGTCCATTACATTTGCTTTCATGCAACTAATTTTAAAAATCTTTATTTTATGTCTCTTTATAGCATAAATTGATAAAATATTTCTCCTTATAGTATAAATTGATAAAATATCCTTTTTGTTTATTTTTGGGGGAAACTATATTCAATTTTTTTTAAAACCAAATTACCATTAATTTCTAACAATATTCTGAAGTCTCTCAAATAATTTTGGCATTTTGATCTTGAGAGCTCTTTGGCTTATTTCTACTCCTCATTTTGTCCATTTGTAGAGTGTATTTCTCAAACCTATAATAAGATTTCATGGTTATAATGACTCTCTACTAATCATCTTCAGAACCTAGTAATCTATTTTTCTTTGTCATTTATGATTAAAAGCAAGTCTTGTAGTCTAAATGTTAAACTCCATCATTAATCGTCAATTGGTATGTTACAAAATGATTATATCATAGCCATCTTTTAATTGCATTCATTTTCAAAAAATGACTAAGGGTCCGTTTGGGGCAACTTATTTGATGTGGTGGCATTTTGAAAACGCACGTAAACTGTTTTGGTAAACTGCATTTTGGCAGCTTATGCGTTTTGAAAAAACAGAAAACAACGTTTTCACACCGCACATATCTAGGTGTGGTGGTAGCTTTTTGGCAGTGGTCTGACTTTTCAAAAAAAAATAAAAAACTTGTAATAGCCACCGCATCTAGCTTATCAACAGATTATTTTTAATCAGCTTATCAGCAGATTATTCCATAAGCTGCAGCTGCCCCATACAGACCCTAAATCTAAAAACATACCCTAAATCAAAAATAGAACAATCTAAATAATATCTGAACCATGATTGAATTTTATTGACCTTTATTATCTCAAACTTCGAAAGTGCTTGCCTATTTTATATCCATATTTAAGAAGTTTCACATCGTCTTGAACCTACGACTGAGTAATCTTTGAATCATGTTTCATACAAGATCAAACCATCTTAAAACTATGTTTGAACTTTCTTCAAACTGTGTTTGAACTTTTTTTGACCATTCTTGCAATATCAAAATCCTTTTGAACAAGAGCCCAAGAAGATCTGAAAATGGTTTGATCATCTATCAAAGATGGTTCAAATACTTCTTAATCTTATTTGAAGATGATATAAAACTTATGAATGATGAGTTAATCATGATCTGACAAGGTTTAGCCATTATCAAAGATGGCGCAATCTTAACTTAAAAATGTTTCAGCCATTATTAATTGTGGTTCCAAGCTATGTTTTTCTTGTGTCGTCTCTTTTAGGATGACCTCATTAAAGTTTGCATGATATATATGCAGATATAACATCTAATCTTATTTAATAGAGGCATTATAGTGTTACAATCACATATAAACTTGGAGGTGCTAAGGAAAAATTGATTAGACACTTTGAGGTTATTAAATTCATTGTCCACTTTGAGAGATACCCTTTTGGACACTTTGAAGCTCCTAAATTGTAGTTCTCTGGTGCATACAATTTTTAACAAGAAATAACTGTTGATGATGAAATGATAAATGATATATTGTGTTCAATATCAAAGGGAATAACATGACATTAAATATTATTGACTTTATTTTACTGATTGAGTTGAGTTTTGAAGACTTCTTACATGATAACATGTTCAAGAGGGTGACAAGAAGTAATAGGTTGCTCAAAAGCTAGAAATAAGAATCTCATGAATATAGACATGGAGAATACTTTCATGAAGTAATGGCGTGTGAATGCTTAAGTTGTGATACTTTGTCGATGTCACCCTTCTCAAACTTGATAGGTACTTTGATATTTTTTTTCTGAAATGCTTCTCATAATTAATGATAATGGGCAATTTCTTACATTCCCATGGGAAGGCCATGTCATGGGAGAGCAACATGTGCATTATAAGGCCAATGCCCTAAAGAAGAATGTCCTAACCTAATACATCGTAGGTCCAATGTAGAAATTGGTTTGGTATTTGAAGGTTAAACAATTTATTATCTTGGTCAATAGATCTTTATTTGGACATCTTAAATCTCCTTAAATATAGTTCTTTGGTGCCTTCAATTGTTAATAATAATTAGTGCTAATGACAAAATTGATAAAACTTTATTGTGCTAAATATTAAAGGAAAGAATATGACATTAAATATTATTAACTTTGTTTTAATGAGTATGTTGAGTTTTATAGAGTTCCTATATAAAACAGGTTTGAGAGGTGATGTGTGTCAGATGGTTCGCTTTAATATTGGTCTTAGCCATCTAAAGTCACTAAAGAATGGCTTGTGTCCACCCATGTGGGACTTCACAATAAGAGTCTAGAAGTGTTTGGACTTTCTATGGGGGTAGGTTCCATCACTATTTCTCTTGAATAGTCAACAAAAAAAACATATGACTAGATCATAGGTTTCTAAAGAAGAGAATTAGACCTCATCAAAAATGAAGTCAACATGTGCTTTGAGCACCCTTACTTGTGATGCTTCTTTGAGCATCTGCACTTGCAAGTATCTTTCCCGCATATGTTCTTATATGCACTTTGATAGATGCTTGCACACTTCGTAAGGAAGTGTTTCATAAATAAAATTACCTATTGCATAATTCTCTTTCATGAGAGCCATGTTACCTCACTCCCTACGATACCGTCTAGGAACGTCATATGTATCTCACATTTTTTTAAGCACGAGTCATTCTCTTCAGTTGCTAAACTCGTGTGAAGCATAATGTGTGTCCACCTAGGTACGTGACTCTCACATGGCACGAATCACACTACCTAGCTTTTTGGCACTTCATATCTTGGATGCTCTTCATTTGCCTTGGGTGCAAGTTGCATTCATTGCATGCTTGCATGTGCTCAGTGAGTGCCTCTCGGGCAAGGAGTAAATCCTTTGTATATGTATCTTTTACTGGATGCAAACACACTTGTATCATGGCACTCATGTTGGTTCATGGGCCGAGCATAATTCTTCTTATAGGTAGCCTATTCTTGGTTTACTCATTTTGTGCATGTCATGTCCATGTGGCATTCTTGCATTTTCTTACATGATGTGTGCTTCGCCTTTTGCAGACCGTTGTAATTGTTCGTGCTTTGGCCGACAATCACAATGCGTTGTGGCTTTTGCATGTTGTATGTGCATCACCCATTTTCTTGATGAAAAATCTTACTCATTAGGATGAGTTACCCATTTATTTTTTGTAATACTTAAACGACCATTGGTTTCGAGTATAGATCAGCGAGCAATGTGAGTTTTCATATTATGATCAACTGATGTATGATTGTGCTAATGCTCTGAGGAATCTAAATTACATCACTTGCATGTTACATGCTTACTTTTATTGGTCCTACTTTAAAAGTATAAAAAAGGACATTTTTTTATTTTTAATTATCTGCCATACTTTTAAAACTATATAAGTTAGCTCATATGCGAGACCATTTTTTCAAATGTCACCCATTTAGTAATGCACTTTAGATCCCTTGGATCATTAGGACTGGGCTAATTTGGCGACCCCATCAAATTCATACATAGTGACTTTACCCCTACACTGTGGGCGCACTTAGATGTTGTGATAGAACATTATGGTAGATGGTGTGCTAGGCTAGGACTAAGATGCTATGTAGTCTTTTCGATGCCCTAACTGTATTTCTTTTTTAATTTGGTTGCTCTAGTCATGCATCACTTTTGGGTTGCTTTGTATATTTACTGGGTGTGAGACAATGTGTTAGGGATGGTCTTTTTGCAGGCAACCATGTCCAATAGGGATGAGCTGTAATGATTTAAGGCTGCCTTTTGCTTGTAGGTGGGGTTTAGCTCTCTTTCCGCTAAGCATGGTTCACTACGGCATGTAGATAGATTTTTGCTAACAAGATTTCGTGGAGGCTGATACTTTATTTTTTACTTTTCTTATGTACTTTTTAGAGTCCTTAGGAGAGTCCTATAGAATAAATAAGATACGAACACGAGTTCTAAGGTACTTTAGGCGAGGAACCATGTGATAGGGACTAGGAGCAAATGCTCGTGTCTCGTATTTTAATTTCTGCATTTTGATATTGATGTATGACATTTAGGACCAGGTATGTATATGCGAAGTCTGGATGCTTTTTTTATTTTTTGGAATATGTTGTTGACCCAACAACACCCGACCTGTTATTATTTTATTTTGGCTTAATTTACTTTCCTTCTTTTGTATTTATTCTTGGTTTTAATTTTTTTTATTGTGGTTTGTCTGGAAAACTTTCACTACAATTTGGGCTCTTTAAGGACCCTGATATTATAAAATTTTTATAAAAAACCTAATGAAAGATTTGAGATTAATCAAAATTTATGATTAAAATATTCAACAGTTTAAAACATGTACTTTTCTTTTCTAAATGGCTTCAGACTAGTTTTAAAATGGTTTGCATAGAATGCCTATATCCAAGTCATCCCTAATAAAGCCTCCATGTTTAGGACTTTAGGTGATTGCATCATATTACATGCCTCAAGGAGAAGTCCCTATGCTTCTTCAACCTGACTGACCAAGCATAAGTTTTATACTTAGGTGGTTTCTAGCAAAATTAGGGTGTTATGGGATTTTCCATCCTAGATGCGTCATTTGTATGTTTTTAGCTTTGTAGTTGGACCTCTTTTTTCTCTTCCTTCCAAAGACATCTGTCGGCACTATTTTTGGTGTGGGGTTTGCCCATAAGAAGCTGTCGGTCATCGGAATTGAAATCTCGTTGCCCGCTTCGGAAGGACGTTTTTTAAAAAAATTTAGTTTTTGAAAAAGATGAAGTCAAACTGACTCCATAATTTTCATAGTTTAGATGAAAGAGCACTTTACCTCAAATCATGTATCTATCCCGAAGGATGAACACAAGAGTTGAGGGTGAGGCTTGATCAAATAAACTAAAGAAAGTTATGATATCCGTTTGGTCTGCGAAACCAATGTATTGGCCAACAAGTTCCCCTATTTAATATAATGAATTAAATAGGGTTTATAT